GCGGAGGGTCAGTGCTGAGGGAGCGGGCACTGTCGGAGGGTCAGCGCCGAGGGAGCGGGCACCGTGCGGAGGGTCAGCGCTGAGGGAGCGGGCACTGTCGGAGGATCAGCGCCGAGGGAGCGGGCACTGTCGGAGAGTCAGCGCCGAGGGAGCGGGCACTGCCGGAGGGTCAGCGCCAAGGGATCGCATGATGTCGGAGAGTCAGTACTAAGGGAGCGGGCACTGTTGGAGGGTCAGTGCTGAGGGAGCAGGCGCTGTCGGAAGGTCAGTGCTGAGGGAGCAGGCACTGTCGGAGGGTCAGGGCTGAGGGAGCGGGCACTGTCGGAGGGTCAGCGCTGAGGGAGCGGGCACTGTCGGAGGGTCAGCACTGAGGGAGCGGGCACTGTCGGAGAGTCAGCGCCGAGGGAGCGGGCACTGCCGGAGGGTCAGCGCCAAGGGATCGCATGATGTCGGAGAGTCAGTACTAAGGGAGCGGGCACTGTCGGAGGGTCAGTGCTGAGGGAGCGGGCACTGTCGGAGGGTCAGTGCTGAGGGAGCGGGCACTGTCGGAGGGTCAGTGCTGAGGGAACGGGCACTGTCGGAGGGTCAGTGCTGAGGGAGCGGGCACTGTCGGAGGGTCAGTGCTGAGGGACACTTGGAGCAAGTATTTTTCCTACAACATGGATCTTGTTCTGGCTTCCCTTTGCCCCTGTGGGAGCTTGCTGGGTGCCAATGAAATATTGCATTTACACTCCTGAGAGCTCTGGGACCACCCTCAATTTGCTCATGGAGACCTGTAACATTATCCATCACCTCCCTTTGGAATTTCATTTGAATCCCACCCTGCTTCTCAACACCAGAAACACTTCTGGGACAGCTTGCGTTGAAGTCCAAACCGCAGCCCCTCTCCTCTTCCTCCCCTACCTCTTCCAACCCCACACAAGTCTGTCCTGGACACCCAGCAATAGTGGTGATATGCAGAAAGTGGTAGATGAAGAGAAGAGATGAGCCAGTTTGCAGGGGAAGGGGTGAAATTAAAGTGGGTTAGTGGCTGAATTAGTTGCAGAATAAAGACTCAGCAGTGTTTGTCTGCAAAATACCTTTAATAGCAACTTTCATAGAAATTATTAACATCTTACACTTCACAGAAGCTCTCAAGTAACAGTCATGCAAAGGCAAAATTTCCTCCTGCTTTTCAGTTTATGTTTTAATTCTTAAAAATAAAAACGAGGGTTAGTTCGGCGTGCCGCGCAAGCAGAAAGGGCTGGCGAGAGAGAAGTGAGGGTTCACTGTTACAAGAGCCATATCAGAGTCAAAGTATTTCTCTCTCTCTCTTTTTCTCTGTCTCTCTGCACGGACCATGCTGAGTTTGCCCAGACCTCCCTGCTTTGATTTCAGACCTACTGTGGTTTTGCTTTTTGCATTTGGCGTGCTCTGCTTTGTTTACGTTTTCCTCTCAAGCTAAACTGCAAAATGCATCTTATTTTTTTAAACCCTTAGTTAATCGGGGGACCTGGGCACTGCTGCCCAAGCTACTGTTAATTACCCAGTGGGCACCTAAACAAATTCATGCCCACTCCAATCGCTGTGAGCCATACTGGGTAAGGATGGAAGATTTCCTTCCCCAATCGTTACACCAACACCCCCCCTACCCCAACTCCGCTGATGGGGCTTTTAAAAATGGGGCATCGCTAAGAGATTTTAAATTCCAGATCTCTGTTTTACTGAACGCTTCTGTCGAATCCTGGTGGGATATCAACGTCCCCTGTCCCCTGCGACATTTACCCGCTACACTCCGATTAAAAGCCCCCAGTCACACTAGGGCACTTGCTGGTTGGGCAGAGCGAGGGCACGAACGCCCAGGAGGGTTGGGGAAGAGAGAGAGAGAAGGGGAGTTGGGAGGAGGATGAGAGGGATGAATTGAGGTTGGGAGAAGGGGAGGAAGTGGGGGGGGGGGGGGGGGGGGAAGGGGGGAGGGGGGGGGGGGGGGAGG